CGTTGCTCCTGAAACAGTGCCACGCCCCTTTGTTCTCAAGCTGGCATCATGGCAAGCTGCTTTTCCTCTGGTTCAGTTGGCCAAAATCTGTGGTTGCAAAATTTCTACTTTGAGATTTAAGATACTTGAGTTCTGCAGGGCTTTTGACAAGTGGTTTCTCTAGCAGCAGAATTTCCCACCAATGTCCACCTTCTATCTCCCCCTGCCTCTGATAAACCAGTTAAGCTGTCTTTGTAACTGATTTTCAGACATCGTAGTTAGCAGCGGCTGTTCCCCTGTCTCACTACAATCAGCCACAGACAAGGATAAGGTGGAGGATGTGGAAGTGGATGTATCTTGTACTCCCAAATTGATCAAGGGAAGGGAAGATTGGCTGGTTAAGCCTGAGTTTTCAAAACGGTTAGATGCCATTCGGAGATCTCTTCTGAAGGTGAGGAGATGGTTGGGGAGTGAAAACATTGGTAAGATGACAAAGCTTATGGAAAGGATCAGACAATCTGATTGATGTAATTCTGGGCACCCAGAACCAAACATCTACCTCTAAACAATGCTCGCACCCACACTTTTGTATTTATACCGCATTTATTTCAGTGATTTTTTTTTTTAACAAAGATTTCTTCCCCAGACAAAAAATTCCAGAGCAGCCTGCAATAACCAAAATAGCTAAAAACATATCAGCAATATATTAAAAGCAGCAAATCTAAAGACAGTACAGTTGGGAGGAAAAAAACAACAGCAACAGAAATATACTCGAAGAGATATCTTAGAGTAGACGAAAGGACCTTAATGCTGAAAGGACAATAAGGTCGGTGCCTGGGGAGCCTTCGTGAGAGAGCATTCTTCAAAAGGAAATACATCATTGGACTAGGTACCTTTTCTCATGGCAGTTCAGATGGAGAAGATACCCACCAGAAAGCTTCTCTGAACATCTCAGGGCGCGAACAGGCATGTGTGGAAAGCTGGTGGCAAAGTCATGAAAGGCTTGAAATGGCAAAACCATGCCAAGAGTTACAGCAGTTGATTGAAAGTCAGAGCAACATGGCCACACCACAACTAAAGAGGGGCTGCATTTGCAGTGACCCCCATGCTATTGTTTTATATCTGGAATTCTATTAGGTACCCTGATTTCCAGGCACCTATCCTGGCGTTCCTGCAATCCTGAGCCACCTGTTGAGAAGGAGGCAAGATGTGTAACGCACTTACATACTTACGGTCAGGATAAAATAATGAAAGAAGATCCTTCTGTCATCTTTTCAGTCTTGTTGATTTTAATTGGGGCATTAATGATTGGCTGAGTTCCCACACAACATTAAGCCATAATGTTGAGTTTTTTCTTCAGGCAGTAGCGTATTATGCTGACTCAGTCACTGAGACATATCAAAAATGGTTTTTAACTTACAGCTAATTGAACACAACCTATTATGGCTTATTATAAACCATGATTATTATAAACACATAATGAATGAACTAGGTCAGTACTGAATTAGAATAGAGATAGGCAAAATGCTGCCTTCCAGATATTTTTGGACTAACACCCATCAGCCTAGCTGGCCGATAATTAGATTGTAGGGACTATGGTCCAAACATCTGGCAGGCACCTGGCTGTCTGACTCTGAAATAAGCCACCCAAAGTACAAGACTATGTTTCTGGCTGGCTGGATTCACAAACATGTTAGGCTAAAATACTCTTTGCTATTTTGTGACATTTTCTTTTTGTATGAAACCAGCCAATGTGTTGTGCAAATACAACCACAGACTCTTCTTTCTGTTTTTATGTATGTAGAAATAGTCACTAGGTTCACAGGTTGTGCTTAGCTACAACATTCATTCATTCAATTCAACATTCATGGTCCTGTCACATGGCCTGGGGTGGGGAGGAAATACTTCAAGCGTGGGGATGGCTAGCCCCATAGACACCTGCTGTCTTCGGCCCCAGATTCTTCATCTTCTTGGACTCTCCTTTTCCTTTTTTTTAGTAATGTTTTTTAAAATTTTGATGTTTTATGTATTTATATATATTTATGGTTTT